TGGAATCTTAAAGTGCACTCCCTCCCTCTCACCTACACACACACACACACACACACACACACACACACACACACACACACACACACACACACACACACATACACACACACACACACACACACACACATACACACACATACACACAACACACACACACACACACACACATCCAGATACATACCCAACACACCACACACGCAGAGAGAGGGTTCCTCTAAGCTTATACCAAAATATCAATAATGTAATCAAGAACATTATCACATATGTGCACTGATAAATGTAATTATCAATTACAATAAATTATTTTTTGCAAAACTTAACTGTCTATGCCAGGTCACGGTCTGGGCTGAGGGGGGCGTTGACCCCCCGAAGCCCCCTCCAGGTATACTCCAGGTACGCCGAGTGTGGAAGCAATCACAACTCCAGCAAAAATTAGAAAACAACAACAAACGAAAAGAACAACAATAGCCAAGAACAGTAAATACCAGCCTGACACAATTAAACCGAATAAGGATAAAGAAAAATCGCAAGTCGAGCTTTTATTAAGCGAGGTGATAAAAGGCATTAGACAAAAGAGGGATGAGAAAATGATCGACAACCGCTGATCTGCCAGTTAGTCAGCACAGGAAGCTGCAAAAGTGGATCGTCTAAGAATTGTTCAGCAGCCTTGGTGATACACCTGAAGTTTACTTGAAGACGGTTTCAAGAACGAGAGGGGCGAGTCGAAGTTCCTGCGGCCCGGTCCCAGATCAGGTCTCCTGGTGAAGTACCTGGTCAACCAAGTTTTGGTTAACTTTTAACCTACGCATCCACGATGTTTATCTCATTATTATCATGATCAAGTTTAACCTAGCTCTAACGAACTTTCTTTAATCTACGTATCCATGATATTTATTTCATCCTTATCCTGATGCAGCCTCCCCATCTCTACCGAGTGCCTTCTATACCAACACATCTCTATCCTCACCATGTTTCCTTCTTCTCGTTCTAAGTACTTCTAGGAATTTCGGTGAAGGAAAGAGACAGGTGTAGCGGAAGCCTTTAACGCAGCAACGTTTCGCTCTCCGTTGAACGTTGTAGTGTCACTGATTTGGTAGAGCTCTGCATAGAAACGTTGTCACAAAGGCTGCTCGCCACCTGTATTTTTTCCTTTGACATCGGCAATGCGCTTCGTATCCCAGAACTCTCTCTCTGCTCTTCCCCACACCTATTGATTTACATTCTTCCTTGTTGCTATTATTGATGGCCACTTCATTCTCTTTCCCCCTAGTCCCTACTTTCTGGCTATTTCTGCCCTTTCAGTCGCGTGTAGACACAAAAGTTAACACTTGCCTAACATACTTCCACTAAATAACGTCAGACGAGTTTCTTCTAGGCTGACAGTCCTTACCAGGGTGACACTGCTGCTGTTAGTCTACATATCTCACATACGCCTGCCCACCTACGGCATCTGGGCATGTCTATGGTTGCAGAGATGCAAATGCAAATATCAGGCTGACTAGGCGGTCAATAAGTGTGACCTTAAGTCGGGAAAGGAGGATTGAACAGCCCTCGAAACCAGTCACAGGTATCCACAAACGTATACTATACAACTGTTGAAAATTATGCTAATTTCATTAAACCTTATCGTACAATTACATAATAATAAATAATTGAATAAAGTGGAGTGTGTTTTCTTTGGGTCACCCTGCCTTGGCGGGGACGGCCAAGTTTAATACTACTACTACTATTAGTATTACTACTACTACTACTACTAATAATAATAATAATAATAATAAAATAAAAACTGAAAATTATAATGAGCAACATAAAATAACAAAGTTATCAGTGAAGGAAGAATCCTGAAGTGTTTTCCCGGTAAGTTCATTATTAAATTCTGCAGAAGCAGCAGAGTGCAGCCTCCGCTACAGTTCCTGAACAGAACAGTAGTCAAGCCTCCACTACAATGACCGAGCAGGAACGCGAAACCACCACCACAACAGTCACTGAACAGAAGAACAGTACAGCCTCCACAAGATCCAATGAAAGAACAGTGCAGCCTCCGCTACAGTGACTAAGCAGGAACGTAAAACCACCACCACAACAGCCACTGAACAGAAAGGCACAGTGAAGTCTTCACTACATTGACATTGCCTTCACTGAACACAGGCAAATGAATATACCATTTGTTTATGGCCGTTTCTTAGAAGGTAATGGCAAAGCGAGAGCATTGTGCAGCTGTCACAGCTCACTCCTCTCACTGTGTCGAGAAATAATATTGGAATACACTGTCGTCCAGTGGTTTTATCAACATGGTGAAGAAGTGGTCTCAAACATGCTTTACCAGAGAGCTTTTACAAGCCATTTCGAACTAAATATGGCTTTTCTCAAATCTATAAACACTTGATAAATGCAATTACGCGAGTTTCAATTCCTGGAACATAAACATTAAAGTTTTTGGGAGGTAAGGAGTTACCTGGAGAGGATTTCGAGGGTCAACGCCCCCGCGGCCAGGAGTGTTGGGGATTCGAACAGGCGACCTGTCACAACCAGATCGATTCCCCAGTACTCACGCATTTCTTTTTTACTTTTACTCATTTTGTAATTGTATTTGCTTACCTGTGACTGGCTTTTAAGACCAGGCTTCAGTGCTAACAGTCTGGTCAACCAGGCTGCTGGTGCTACTGGCCCGCAGGTCCACACAGCAAATGTAAGTAAGTTTATTTAGGTACAGGTACACATAAGTACAATTATTATACCTATCAACATGTGTAAATTATCTAGGATAACCCCAAAGTAGAGGTTCAGTTTCCTTTTGGTAGTTTTAACCTTTGTAGGGGCATACAAAACGAAGGTACAAAGGTAATTCACAACGTGCAAATTGGAAATGCAAGATGCAACACTTTTCGGTCTATCCAGGACCATTATCAAGATCCCAAGATGCCTTAAAGAAACCTCCGGTTTACTCCAATGTTTCCTTTTCACTGGTGATGTCACAACGTAGGTAATCAGTCCCTCAACCAGGCTGAGGGACTAATTACCTCAAACTCCTCCTCTCCTCACCCATCTCTGCGTTGTATTGGACTGATGAAGCCACTCTGTGGCGAAACATTTCCTTAATGAAGATTACCATGTGTTGCATAAGTGTCTCGATCTTCAGCTATAGTAATCTTGCCATTGTCTCCACCAGCTGTGGATTGTCAGAGTTGAGGTATTATGACTTACTCATCACATGAAAGTAACTTGAGGGCACGAACAGCAAGCGTAAATAAACCATCACTTTAGTAACAATTACGTCATTTTCTTCTACAAATGCAACAACTTGGAAAATAAAGTGTGTGTTCTCCACTCACCTTCAAGCCCCTGTGAAGATGACTTCGCCCAAGGGATACACTTTCAGAGGAGGCAAAGCGTACCCTGTCTGTTTAACCCCGTGCCCATGTGAGGGGCCTGTCTGTGCCCATGTGAGACGCGAGTGTGCAGGTGTGAAAGCCGGGATAGGCTTTGTCTATGCACCGTCTATGCCCGTCCATGCTTTCTAAGGTCTGTCTGTGCCCATCTTAGGCAAATTTTTGGCCGTTTTGGGCAAGTATGTGACCATGTGTGTTTCGTTTATGATCGTCTAATGCCCATATGGTCCTCGCCCCCGTGCCCGCCGTGCCCACGGGGCGTGCTGCATTACCAACAGCCAGGACGCCCTCCACCCTCACTCAAACTCCTAAGGACCTCTTGTCCGCTTCTCAAGGGCCATCCTAGCCCATGGAAGGAACCTGGGTATAAGGGATGTGGCAGAGGGAGGGGATAGGGGGGTTATGGGTATGGGAGGAGAGGATGGGGGCATTTGAGAGAAAGTTGGGGGTTGAAGAGGGCACAAGTTATGCAGAGAGGTGAGCCAGGCAAGTTTCCTTCTTTAAGAAGAGTCAGCTGCTGGTAGCATCCACCAGCCTGTATCTGGCCCTCGGCCCGAACAAACACTCCTCAACAAGAGATTTGCCACATCATATTGACGGATTTATCTCCGCTACACCCAAACCCGAGTCAAACCACCGTTGATAAAGCTTCCAACTCCATTTAGGTCGAATCCTCTTGTCATTCGTGCAAAGATTTCAGATCTGTGGCATACCTGTGACCGCTTTCAAGGATTATTTTGCCTTTGCAGACCCTAAACACGAAACAATGGCCTCCACGTGGCATGGTCTGGTAACTCGGAGATGACACTAAGACTGACAGTGGTCGCATATGACAAGGCCCAAAAGATCAGAAATCAGTGATGCTGTTCTGTCTTGGCATCCTTAATAGAGGAGGAGGGGTGCACTGATGTTGGTGAAGAGATCGTGATTCAAGGAATTGTATCTCCACTTCCTTGGATCAAACCGTCTCTCATTCCTCTACTATCCTGAAGAGGTCCTGAAGTTTTAGGTCAACACTCTCAAGAAACCTTGCATCTACCTGTACCTGTGATATACCTGTAACCAATATCAAGGACTTGTTTACTGCACAGAGCAGAACGTTCATAAACTAAATCGGCCTTATAAATTTAGTCAAACATTTAAATTATTGGAACGCTTGAAGCACCTCGAACTGTGCTCCCTGGAACAGGCGAGAAATACCTATCGATTTTACACCTGGAAAATTTTGAAGGATCTGGTTTCAAATCTGCAAATTACCCTTACGTGCTAGAGCGAAAGTGTATAACAAACTAGATGAAAAAACAGGGGAGCCAGGAGCACAAAACAAAGAGTTCTATATGAACATCCGTGAATCACGATTATTCAACCCGTTGGCAGAAGTTATCAGAAACACTGCCGAAACAAGCGTAGTTCTCAAGAGGGAAACCGGATCACTACTTCTCCCAAGTGCAGGATCAACCAGGCTGTGTGCGCCAGCGGACCACCAACAGCCAGGCTCCAGGTAAGACTACAAGGATAAAGAGCGGAAAAACTCGAAATTGGTCACAGGTGAATCACATTACGCCACTTGAATGCAAAATGTTAGTGAGAAAGAAGCAAGAGAAGACTCACGGCTTCAGTGTGGATGGGGTGGACGGCAAACAGCAGGGAGGCCACGAAGCTTGACAGTTCTGGCAGGAACATGCTGCACATCCTGCAACACAGACGCAAAATGTTAACACCTTGCAACACAGATATGAAAAGTTAATACAACATTTAACGCTCTTCAACACAAATATAAGCAAATAAAACAACACTTAGCAACCTGAAACACAAATATAAAACAACCTACGATATAAATACATTTTAATATAACCTGCAATACAAATATTAGATGCTAATATAACCTGCAACACATATACTATAAATGCTAATACAACATACAACACAAATACAAGATGTAATACAACCTACAACAGATCAACACTGCAAGCATTTTGCACGCAGCAAAAAGGTTTTATCAAAAAAACTTTAAACCCCTTAAACCTTCTGAATGTAAAGGCTTTCATATTCGTGACTGTCTATCAAATTATAAATTTACAGTAAATTCCCTGTAAACCCGTAATCCTGTGTATCATACAAAGGGAGTTTGCTGAGCTAAAAAAAATAATCTCTTTTAAGCATAGGAGACAAAGATTTTTTCTGGAAATTACTTTAGTTTTCCCTTTCGTATCATTCTACTGGCAGGTCCAACCCCCGGCCACCTGCGACGTTGCCCTCAACTGCTTCACCTCTAGTCTGGCTCATATATGATATCGTTCCTACCCCGGGCGGCGATTACTACGGGGATCAAGCCACCCCCACTACCCTTACTGATAAAGCATTTCACCAATTTAAAATGCAGCAATTTCCACCCAGCCACAACAAACACAAAATCACGCAACAAAAACAACAACACTCGGCCCTTCCAAAACCCAAACCAGTCCGTTATTCTCCCAATTACCCCCAAATTTTTTACCCCTTTTTTACCCCCAACAACCCACTTTTCTATGAAAAGAAAACCCACCCCCTCAATCTCACTACTGCCGTAGAAATGCATATATATATATATAAAATATATTTTAATATAATTAATATATATAAAAAATTATATATATATATATATTATATTACTATATATACATAACATATATATCATATACATAATATACATATTTTAACATTCATAAATACAAAACATAATAATACTATACTATATATTACATATACATTAATATACATAAACATAAAATACATAACATATATATAACATATACAAATTTAAAATACTTTAAACATATATATAACATATACATATATATAACATATATAAAAATATACTATAAAAAACATATAATATAATAAAATACATATATATACATATACATATTACAATACATATTATAATGAGGGTGGGGGCCCAGTGTTTACAGTGAAACATAAAAGTGAACAGTATTTAGATAAGGCAAAGAGGTCTTGTGGCTTTAGGATTTGGAAAAGGCGTATGACAGGGTGGAAGGGGGGCAAAGGGCAGTTTTTGCAAGTGTAGGTGTAGGAGGTAGGTTACAAAAGCATAAAGTTTTTTTACAGTAAGGAGGCTCCGAGAGTATGTGGGAAAAGGGGAAATTTTTCCCAGCAAAAGTAGGCCTTAAAAAGGATGTGTGATGTCACCGGGTTGTTTAATTTTTTTATAGAGGGGGTTTTAAAGAGAAGTAAATGCGAGGTTTTGGAAGAGGCGGGATTTAAAAAGATAAAAAATCACACAAAAAGGGGGATTGTCACAGCTGCTCTTTGCTGATGACACGTCCCTTTTTGGGAGTTTGAGAGAATTTGCAGAGATTGGGGATGAATTTGGTGGGGTGTGCAAAAGAAGAAAATTAAAAAGGTGAAACGGGAAAAGAGTAAGGGTTTGGGGAAAAAAAAAGATTGGTGAGAAAGATTGAATACGATTGGAGGGGAGAGTATGGAGGGGTGAGTTTCAATTTTTTGGGAGTGGACTGCACGGAGGGTCATAAAAGAGAGGTAATCAAAAAAATGTGATGGGAAAAGAGCGAGGGGGTGCACTTAGAGTCTGTGGAGACAAAGAATTTTGGCCTTTGGGAGGAAAAGGGGGGAATGTTAAGTATATTTTCCCCCAACGCTCTTAATGGGGTGAAGCATGGGTGATGAATGTTGCAGCGAGGAGAAGGCTGGAGGGAGTGGGGATGTATGTTGAGGGCAATGTTGGTGGAATATAATGAGGAATTCGTAGTTTTGGGAAATTAGGAGGAGGGCGGGGTTACCAAAACTTTGTCCAGGGGCGAGGGAAAGGGTTTAGGTGGTTTGGACAGTAGAGAGAAGGAGCAAACAAAGACTTCAAGAGTGATCACGTATGGAAGGAAGGGGGGTATTGGCCCCAGGAAAAGGGTTTGGGGAGGGGGGTATTCTGGAGTTTACTGGGGAATTCCGGGTCAACGCCCCCGCGGCCCGGTCTGGACCAGGGCCCCCCTTAGGTCGTTCCCCGGATGCGACCCACCCATCGACAAAACCCAGGACCCATTTTTACTGAGGGGGGGAAAAAGACAACGGTGGAAAGAAACACGTCCAAAAATTTCAAACCCGGGGGGAATCGAACCCAGGGCCCCCGCCGGGGAAAGGGGAGCGTTAACCACCAGGGCCCCCAGAGCCACCCCCGGCCACCAGAGGTTTTGTGTGCGAGGGGGGTTGGACTTCCCGTAGGCTGCTGAACAAAAACATAAGAAATAAGAAAGGAGGGGGAAAACTGCGGGGGCCTGTGGCCCATACTAGCAGGTCCCTTTTCAATTCATCCCACTAAAAACATTTGCCCCAACCCCAATTTTCAATGCCACCCAAGAAAAAGCCTATGCAAAGTCCCACTCAAAACCCAACCCCTCCCCTCATTTTTTACCAACGTAAATTTTTAAAAACCCCAAAATCCCGCCTCAATAACCCCAAAAGGGAGACTGTTTTACTATCAACCCCATTTCCAACCAATACTTTCCTATGCCTTCAAAAACTAAACTTACATTTTAAAACCATTTTGCGGGTTTTTTCTCTTGAGGACTCCTCAAGACCTTTTTTAAAATCCCCTTTTTTAATACCTACTTCCACTTTTACACTTCGTCGGGTTTCCCCCCATTCTTCGTTAACAAGTGAATGAACTAAGAGCTTCAATCTTTTTCATAAAGGGAAAATTTCTAATGCTAGGGATTTAAATTTTTCACCACGCTGAATGTTTTTTTAACGAAATTTATGTCCATTTTGTAATACGGAGACCAGAACGAGCTGCATAATCTAGGTGGGGCCTTACTAATGATGTATAAAGCTGCAGTATGACCTCTGGACTTCTGTTGCTTACACTTCTTGATAAAAAATCCCAGTAATCTATTTGCCTTATTACGTACGTTTAAAGGCATTGCGTCTTGGTTAAGGTTGCTGCTCACCATAACCCCCAAGTCCTTTTCGCAATCTGTAGGGCTAAGTTCTACTCATTTAACTTAAAAATACTAGGGTTATGGGCACTCCCAAGCTTCAGAACCTTGCTTTATCTACATTGAACCCTGCATCTGCCACTTTTCTGACCAAGAATAGATTTTTGTTTAAATCCTCCTGAAGTTTCATAACATCTACGTTTGAATCAATTATCCACCTATTTTTGGGTGTCATCGGCGAATTTGCTCAATCACTAGTAATTCCCTCATCAAGATCATTGATATATATTATAAACAACAACGGGCCCAAGACTGATCCCTGTGGAACGCCACTTGTTACAGATCCCCACTCAGTTTTTAACCCCATTTATGGACACTCTCTGCTTCCTGTCAGTGAGCCATGACTCGATCCACGAGAGCACTTTTCCCCAATGCCATGAGCTGCCACTTTCTTTAACAGTCTATGGTGCGGAACCCCTATCAAAAGCCTACTAAAATGTAAGTAAATATATCAAATTCTTTATTGTGGTCAACAGCCTCAAAAGCTTTACTGAAGAAAGTTAATAAATTAGTTAGACAAGACCGGCCTCTGTGAATCCATGCTGAGTATCATTAATCAAGCTATGCTTATCGAGATGGCTTCTTATAATCTCAGCTATAATTGACTCTAGTAATTTGCCTACAATTGAGGTCAGGCTTATTGGGCGGTAATTTGACGGTAACGACTTGTCCCCTGTTTTAAAAATAGGAGTTACATTAGCCATCTTCCACATATCAGACACTACACCTGTTTGAAGAGATAAATTAAAAATATTAGTTAATGGTTCACAGAGTTCCATTTTGCATTCCTTAAGAACCCTTGAAAAAAACCTCATCAGGACCCGGCGACTTATTTTGCTTCAGTCTGTCTATCTGCTTCACAACCATCTCACTAGTGACTTCGATGTTACATAATTTATCTTCTTCTAGCCCACTGTAAAAATTAATTACTGGAATATTGTTAGTGTCTTCCTGTGTAAAAACTGAGAGAAAATAATTATTTAAAATCAAGCACATTTCATTCTCTTGTCAGTAAGGTGCCCATAGTTATTTTAAGGGGACCTATCTTATCTCTAACTTTGTTCTAAGACCTGAAAAAACTTTTTGGGTTAGTTTTTAGAATCCCTAGCAACTTAATTTCATAGTCCCTTTTAGCTTTTCTTATCCCCTTTTTAATGTTCCTCTAATGTCAATATACTGATTCATAAGATGACCTCACCTCTTTTGATACGCCTATAAATTCTTTCTTATGCCCTAGTAGATATTTGAGCCTATTATTCATCCATTTTGGGTCATTTCTATTTGATCTAATTTCTTTATATGGGATAAACGCTCTTTGAGCAGCATGTATAGTGTTCAGAAAACTGTCATATTGATAGCTCTCTTCGTTACCCCAGTCAACAGATGATAAGTGTTCTCTAAGCCCATCGTAATCTGCTAAGCGAAATCTGGGACTGTTACTGAGTTATCGCTACTATCGTACTTCCATTCAATGCTAAATGTAATTGATTTGTGGTCGCTAGCACCTAGTTCCTCTGAAATTTCTAAATTATTAACAAGGGATTCATTGTTTGCCATAACTAAGTCAAGTAGGTTATTTCCCCTTGTAGGTTCTGTCACAAACTGCTTCAAAAAACAATCCTGAAATACTTCTAAGAAGTCGTATGATTCTAAATTCCCAGTCAAGAAATTCCAATCAACATGACTAAAG